CCAATTTTAACAGCCACAAAAATCGATATCAGAGAGGGAACCTGTTTACACAGCTCTACGCATTAAGGAGCAGCATGATCAAAGCTAGTAATGACAACATTTGTTTTAAAAAATGCACATACAATCTTTTATTTCCTTATCATGTGAACTAAAAAAACACTATGAATAACTTTGATAAACATTTAGAACAATATTTAGAATTTTTAGCTTCTGCTAGAATCAAACATTAAAGCGATCTTTATCTGTAAATCAGGATTATCAATGAACGCCATCAGCAGAAAAAAAACAATCAGGTATCTCTGAAAGATAAATTTACTCCCTTTCGTGACAAATGAGGTGACAAGAGTGTTCCTGACTGAATTATGAGGTTAGAAGATAAGCATTGGTTATTGTTGTTGTCCAATGTCTCATTGTCTTATTGTCCAATGCTATGCGCCACCCGCCATGTCAAATTCCTCGTATGTCTACTTTGGCAATAAGGTTGCCTTATTCACCTAATACCTAGATCATATTGCCAGCCACCCCTCTGCGTAGCTGGTGATAAGAAAATAAAAATGACCATCAGCTCCTTTTAATTCTAAAATAAAAAAGAAGTCTGGAGCAGTGTTTCTCAGCAAAGTGCAGTGGAATGAAAAAGCGTCTCTTATTGATTGGGATAATGCGTTCCAGACAGCTTCCTAAAAATATATATAATATATCAGATACATATTTCGGTTTTGGTCCCTGCCACATTAAAGAGAAGCTGAAAAATGCAATGATGTATTACATAACTGAAAGAGAGAGAACTGCAGGCTCACGTGTTTCCAAATGTCATACACACAAGTACCTGAATCACGGGATGAATGTCAAGAAAACAGGTGGCACACGCTGTGAATGAGTAACTGCTTGTGAGTTTACACGTGTTCGTACGTAAGGCAGCACTGGTGTCATGTGCATTTCCTCCTGTTCTAAAGCACAAATCCCACCAACGAGGAATCACATCACCTCTCTAGAATTAATCAGTAGGACGATAAACTCGACAAACTGTAGTTTAAAATTGTTGATGGTAATTCTCTTCAATTATGAGCGAGGGAATTCTGATCTGTATAACTTCCTAATACAAACTCATCATATAAACTAATTACAGACTTTTTTGTAGCCAAAGCACATTGTTAAAAATACATTCATATTTATTTTAATAATTAATTATATGAAAATAATTTAATTTATTGGCTTATATTTATTTATAGGTTGAACGGAAGTAGGTTTTCTGACTTCTTCCTAATTCTTTTTTGAGGCAATTAAAAGGTAAGTTCGAAGCTTCACAAAATCCAGGATGTGATATGTAAGAAATGATGCTCGTTTATTTTTCGATAGGGGAAACCGATTAGTTGTCAGCTATTATTTTTTCTTTTGCATATTTATTGTTGCTTATCAATAGCTGCAGCCCTACCTATAATTAAAAGGAGGTCAAATTTATTCCCCATTCATCATATACACACGGGCAAAGTCATTGGATGCCATAATGTAAAGTCAATGCAGCCAAAGAAATGGAAAAGAGTCAAATCCATCAATCTCTGATTATGAAATGTGACAAAACTTCATGAAATCAAAGTGTGTTAATGAGGCGCTCTCGTTGATGATGATTGACAGGACAGAGGAAAATAAAATGTTTGCAGTTGTTCAATTACAATAATTCACCAAACGGGATAATTAGATTCATTAACAAAGTGTTCCAGAGCAGATACGAGTAGGAAGGCGAGTGTGTGGCAGCGAGTGAATCATCATCCCGTCGCTCCAGCTGGTGAGGATGTGACACTTCTCCTTCGGCTGAGACTGAAAACGCTCCGGTGGATCAAAGGGGACGGAACCAGAACCCAATATGAGTTAGAAGCCCAGTTAGAAACGGTTCTGATTGAGTCGAACTAACAGCACTTGGCTCGGGAAATACAGTACATATTTATTCCCAAAGATCTTTGTGAATGCCAGACGGAATGAACGGAAATGTGTGAAACACTGTCCGATGCTTTGATAACGGTGGGTTTTCATAATGGAAACACAAAACCGCTTGAGAGGATTCACGTTTACGGGAAAGGTTTGTTATTCAAACAGAACAGGATTTCTTTCTGGTTGCATCGGTCAGAAGTCTGCAGATGTTGGTGGATCAATTCAAAAGTTCTCAACCCTTAGTGTCAATTTGGCATCTTTGATGAATGCAAGCTGTTGTGAGGCTGAACGGAAAACCATCACTATCGGTTTAGAATCTTCTGATAGCTCCAGGACACTGTGGCCGACGGAGTTATTCCTTACAATGAGTTTAGCGGGTTTCCAAAGGTAAAATGAGATATACTGAAATAAAGATCAAGGAGATTTAAGCGATGCTAAATTGAATTTTCATTTCTTATTTAAACAAAGAAATGCAAACCATCTTAGTATCATTTTAATTTCTGGTAAAATACGGACTTTAATTGGGGTAACCTGATATTTTTGTGAAATACTGAAAGTAGAAGTTAAGCTGTTGATAGAGACTCTCAGCTGGATTATCATATAGCCACACAAATCCTAAACACCACGTCAGCAGCATTTAAATTCCAATGACGACAAAAAGTAATTTGCAAAAAATCCCATAAATGGTGCTGAAAAGAACAAAGTCAGAATGTCTTTTTTATGAACATGTGCAGTAATTCCTCACAGTCCAACTTCATCTTCATCTTTATCTTTCATCATTATAACATAATCCATTTACGCAGTGTAATTATGTTTGTCAATGCCTTTTAAGTCTGTTTGACACTGTACTCCCTGTCCAAAGACACATCATTGTTGTTCAGGCTGTTCCAGTTTCTTCTCACTGTTCTGAAGCCACTATGCAACAGAAAAACTCACACACCCCCTGACATTTTATCATCTGGTTGTATTGAGCAGTTGCCCTTTCACACGCCCAGCAGACCCCGATGATTATTAGCATTCATTTGGAGACCTTTGGGACCTGATATTAATGTAGAGTCTGATGTCTCCTCTCTGAAGCTCCTGTGCGTGTTTGGAAAAACAAACTACAAAAAACAACAACAGCTACCTGCTGCTGGTAGAAACCGGGTTAATAGAAGCTGCTAAACTTAACCGTATAAATGTGAAAACAATGGACTCAAGCGCCTGTTTTGTTGTGCGCTCGCATCTCGATGTGGCCACGTGAGGAATGAAAGATAGCAGCTACGAAGAAATGTTACGTCTTCAGAGGCCCACTGTGATTTGGGATTAACCTCAAGGAAACCTTTAAGACTCAAAGCCTGCAAAGCCTCTACATCTCTCACAATGTTACATGTTTATGATATATTATGCACATTCTAGAGAAACAAGGGAAAGGGAAAGTTTCTCTTTTTAATCTGAGCATGCATGAATGAATTTGTTGATGGTGAGGACCGTGCAGTTTCTGTAATGAGTGGGACTTAATGAGCCAGCAGCATGAGTGGTCCTGGTTGATGGTTTATTCAGTGTTTGCTGAACTGTTGGGTGGGCCTTGAGCCGACGCCGTTATTATGTCTTCAAAACATTTAACCTTCATGTTTAACATGAACCTTCACCTTTCACCTTGTGAAGCAGATCGCTGAGGACAGGACAGCGTTGCCCTCCTACCACAACGTAAAGCCAAAATGCTGCATGAATTATACCATTCTAAAGCTGCGCGGTCTGAGTCACACACAACGCAAGCCGTTAATAAATTACTAAGCACAGCAACTGTAACACCTCAAACGACTTAATGAGGCATGTGGAGAAATAATCAGGATAAATCGATCTTTGAGTAGATTCCTTTCCCCTCTTAAAACACCACACATAGGGTGCAGATTCCAGCTTCTACGCATTAAATAATCACAGTAGTGTGTTTTAGTAAGTGAAAACCACAAACCCCAACGTAGCAGACTCGCAAACACCGGCCCCTCTTAGAGGGAAAAATAAGACATTTTTTAAGCCAACTGCTCACCCGCGCAAGCCAAGGCTATTGCAGCAGCCAAATGGGGCTGGCAGCGCGTTCGCCCCCAGACTGCGCTCATACCTCCAAAACACGGGCGTCCTCGGGGTGTAAACCACACGCTCCTGCCCCCGAGAAAAGGCCCGGGTTCAGGCTGATGATTGCATGAAGCAGACGGGCTGGCCAAGTGCTGCCATCGGCGCCAAATGTCTGCTTCTTTCCTTTTCACCTGCTCCATTCGTCATCCATCCTCCTGTTAACGTGCCAAGCCCAGCCATATATATATATATATGACAACATAAACGCATTAATTAATCAAATCAATTAATGTGGCCTAGATTAACGCAACAAAATATTTTAACGTAGTTAAAGTTGACCGCAAAAACAAAACAGCCCCTAGCTGCAGTCAGTTACATCAAGATAAGCTTTTTGCATTTGAAGTAAAATAAAACAGAGGCGCGACATACTGGGGACTGTGCAGAGGAATTACTCCACGTGTCAAACAGAAGGAGGGTGAGTGGCAAACGGACCACTTAAAGCACTGCTAGGCTAAGCTAGCTGCTTTGCTACTTCCATCTCAACATCCACCCTGCGCGGCACACAGTCTGCAGAGAAGCACCACTGTGTCCCTATAAGACCTGGTTTGAAAGCATCCTGGCTAAATGTGGGGAGATCGTTGGCACTTCAAACACCGCCGTTAAATGGTGGAGAGTGGAGAGCAAAGTGCACGAGGACAACAGGAAGAGTCGCTAGTTCAACAGGTTCCACCAGGTGGAATTCTGCCTCCAAGATGATCACGTGTGTGTCAGACACATGCACAGGTAGACCCCTAGTGGTGCTCAAGCACCTGCCCTGTTGCCCTGTACGAGAAAAGTGGCCCTTCTTCTGCAGCAAAGCGGCTGCAGCATCAGACCAACAGCTGACAATGACTGCTCCAATCTTCCGGAGATCAACGTGCGCATGCGAACGTGTGCATCTGTTTCTTAATATTCAGTTTGATTCATGACTCATGAGCAAAGTCTACACAACAGATGTGTTTAGGAAAAGAAAGCTTTACCTGCCAGAAGATGGTATCTATCGTGCTGCCCAGGAAGCCTTCTCTCGTTTCCGAGGACAGGAGCTTCGGTCCAAGGATTGTCATGAACTCCTCGAAATCCACCTGTCCATCACCTGGCAAACAAGGGCAGACTATTATTCAATGATAACATACTCCAGCTTTGTGATAAATTAGTTTGCTGGTTGTAAATTATTGTTGAGACCAATCACATCCTTGACATCCCTAAATATTAAATCTATTAAAACTCATCTCGACAGCCTCCTTATTCCTTAAATAATCGGATCAAACGTTTCTCTATGAACTCAGGAACATTTTGAAGGTTACGTAACGGAGAAACCTTTGTTATTTTCTTTGGTCTGGATCCTTTTTGCTTTTTTATCTTAGAAAGCCTCTTCCAGCCTAAGACCTTTTAGCTGGACAGGTGCCAGTTGTTTTTTGAGGCAAACTGGGTAATGAAGGAATAGCAATGAATTTCCCCTGGAATAAAGCGGCACGTAGACCTTACTAAAGCCTTTGGGGTTTGCTAAGAGCTTTTGATTTACTTAAGAAGAGTGATAAAACAATGAGCTCTGAGTAGCTCCATCAAGGATACGAAGCAGATCAAAGTTTACAGTTACTGTATCGCTGACAACATGGAGCTCCTGCTGCGCATCATTGATGCCAAACAGCACTGATCCGGGAGCCTGCTGGTAGTTATTGAAGGTGCTTCCAAAACAAAGCATCAGAACTCTGCAGACAGCACCCAAGTGAATCCAGGAATCTGTTTTTTTATTTTTGTCTTTGGGTGGGAACCCCGGTGAGATTTATTTATTTTATTTATCTAGAACTCGAGAACTACAATCTTCAGGTTTAGAAATACATGGATGGAGGCACCGACAACTTTTGAATTAAACTGAAATACAAGACGTCTCAATCTGCAGTGGCGCTGCTCCGGCTCCGACTCGGGGCATGAAGGCATTGTGAGGCTGAATAACAATGACTGCACTTGTGTCCGGGACAGCAGGATGGATGGATGGCTGTGGGGATAAGGCCGGGTGAACAGGTTAGAGGATGAAGTACGTGTATGTGCATGTACTGGGATCAGGCTTCACGCAAGTAAATTGTATAAAGCTACACCAAATAATCTGAATTAAGGATTTAGTGGTGTTTGCAGATATCCCTCCGCTTACCGCTACTTTTACACAATAGTAGTAAAAGTGATGATGTTTAGGGTTTTGCACAGATTAATATATCAATATTTGTGTGAAATTGCTTAAAGACATAGCTAATGGAATTAGAAATGTATTAATTAAATGACCAGCTACTTATTACATCTTATTGTGGGATAGTTGAAAAGGTGGCCATAGTTTGATGTATCTGCCATTTGCAACACCTCAACATAACATACGTTGCTGAGTCGGAGTGTGTTACAGTCAAAGCCACCTGTCACACAAGTGAGGAGAGAGAGACCTTCCGCCGAGCTTACTGAAGCCAGAATTCTTTTTTAAAAGTTTAAAAAAAGAGAATTTCTAGTGTAATTTCTATGTAAAAAAAACAAAGTGGCGCAGTGCTGCAATCTGGAACAAAGACGAGTGGTAACAGCTTCCGTGAAGGGCACGCAGAGCCCAGCGGCACGGACGGGCCTGACAGCAGGGTTGAGCTGAGTCAAGTCAGTCCGCAGGCCTCTCGCGTCAACTGTTGGTCTTAGCCGGTCTGATCACATCTGGCTTCATCATATGTGCGTATTGGCAAATTTACCAGCACAAAGCCCTTGAAAGGTAGCTGGTCAATGCTAATGTTCAATACTGCCTCAATGAAAATAAAATATTTTTGCAATGCCATGAATAAATGCTGACATGTCAACATGGTTCATTAAGTAGGAAGAGGTTGTCCCCGACTGCAACTCCAAACAGACCGAGAAAAGGAAGTGAATAAATAAATAAACAGCATTACACTTCAAAGTCTGAAGTGAGAGAAAAAAGCCGCCGTGACCTTCGTCGGGTCGGAGAGTGACCTTGGCTGCCTCCTCAAGATGCCGAGGCAACACACCAGCCCCGAGGCACACAAGCAGCTCCAGTCTGCCGTGCTGAGCTTTTATATTTAGCCTTGAACCCTTTTTAGTTATTTCTCTCTCCACGGTGACAATGAAAAGCACTTATCAAAGGCTGTGATTGCGGCGTGACAAATTTGAATATGTCCCAGGGATTTGCATATTGCATTTTTCTCTTTAGAGCGACATACAATTTTAGGAGTTTATCCTTTATGTCAGGGTTAACTAAGACTTCTTTGCTTGAAACCTTCTCTCAGCTGAGAGTGTTCTCTCCGAGGGGCAAGAGGTTAAGAAGATGTAAAAGGGAGGATGGTGCTGCAGAAAATCAACCTCTGCTGATTCAGATCTGACAGCAGGAACCATGTTGCACTGTGTGTGTTCTTTAAGGGCACTGGCTGGAAAACCTAAATGAAGACCCGCTTGTCCGCAAAAACTACCCCCCCCTCCCCATGTCATGTGTGCCTTCGTTTTATTTATCGTTAAGTTTTCAATTTGGGGCTTTTCTGCCCTTGAGATTGAAATATATTTATATATATATATATATGATGCACACACACACATTACATTACATGTGGATGTGTGCATCTAAACAGGCATGGCTGCACTGGCATGCAACTCACCGTCCATGTCTAGTCTCTGCATGATGATGGCCAGCTCCACCTCACTGGGCATGTAGCCCAACGAGCGCATGGCCATGCCAAGCTCCTGTTTGGAAATGAACCCGTTTCCGTCACGATCCAGCACCTTGAACGCCTCACGGATCTCTGCGAAAACAAGAAAACCAACAGGAAATCCACTCAGCATCTATGAACAATGCAGCCCGAATTTTCAAGTTGCAAGATCACACTTATTGTTAGACACGTATTGCTTATATTTGTGTTTATAGGACTGTGTGTGTGTGTGTGTGTGTGTGTGTGTGTGTGTGTGTGTGTGTGCCAGACACAAGACACAATTTATTTTTGGGGGACTTTCGTATTCTTAGGCAGAGATGCAGGGATGCACAACTTTGAAATAAGCTCTCTCTCTCTCTGTTCTCGTTCTTCTCTGTTCTTCTTTCTACACATGATCAGGTAAGATATAAAGCAGGTATTCGTGGTTGGACGCCGTCCTCCAGAACATAAAAAGGCTGCACACTGGTGCACTTTTTGTCTGGTTCTGCCAAGTTGGCCATCTGGTGCTGGTAGTGAGGACCGGGGAAAGTTCTGAAGTGCTACTGAAAACCTGAATCAGGGTTGAACACGCTCTTGTGAAATAAAGGATTCTTTAAACCTCTCTCTCTCTCTCTCTCTCTCTCTCTCTCTCTCTCTCTGACCCGTTTTGTACTGCACCACCGCCTCAGATTAAAAAGATCAATTCCACACCATCGATTACTTTCCTCTACCTGCTGTCACGGCCGCTGTCAACTCTGCCCACTTTCAGGAACGTCACGTCGATCGGGACCGTTCGATGAGCTCCTTTGTTCTCTCTGTCTTTTGTTTTTACCGGTTGGTATTTAAGGAATTTATGGGGGGGCTGTGGGACCAGGGACATTGAGGAAACACTCCACTCACTAAAACCACTGATGCTGCTGTACGCTGAACCATTTCTGCTCCGTGCATCCACTGATAAAGAAAAATGAGTTATAAAAAACTCTACATATGTACACAGTTGAGTCAGCAGCCGGCTCACTGGTCGGCAGAATGATTCGCCTCACCTTCGCCAGCATTCTTTAACAAATGAATATTTCATACAGAGCGCCAAGAGAGGGTGAGCGGCGCGGCAGGACGGAGAAAACAGACGGACATTGCCGGTTTTTGGAATAGAGGTGGAATGTCACTTCTCGGAGGAACACTGTGGCTGCATGACATGCATGAGCACACTGAATAGTTTGAGACTGGCGAGTGGAGTGGATGGTCTAACTGCAGCCTTCCCAGGGAGCCACAGAGGACTCAAACCGAATCTGCAAGATAATGCAATTCTTATCATATGCAAGACAAAACATGCAATGCATTCTATGACGGTTGAGCAGATTCTGGTGTAAGCACACAAAGACCAGAAACATAAAGAATCCATCTCAACTGAGTATGAACACGTTGGTATTGAGGGAACAGACTATGAGCAATCAATCATCTTGTTATCTGCAGCACTGCTGCCGATCGGCACCACTGGCAAATTATTCAGAACAACAAAACAGAACAGCAGCAGTATATGAATCACCTCATGCAAATGGAGAACGGAGCGCCTTCAGTTCATAATAAAAGGGTCACATTCAGCGACCTGCATCAAAGCAGGATCCCTAGATACAGCAGGTAGGCTACCAAGAAAATATAGCAAGTGACATTGTTTGTAACAATGCAATCCCTCGTTGGAAGAGGTAATGTTTCCAAAGATGCTGCAACGGGAAATACTAACAAAACAAAGACATACAGAATGCATCCAGATTAATTACCCGGAAACAAAAGCAGCATCTCATGCATACATCTGTGACTCCGGTCCTCGTTGTGTCCTCTCCCATTATGGAGAGTGTTGAACCAACCAACAAAATAGAGACTGGCTTTAAATGTCCAAATGACTCAGTCCATTTCATGCACGATGTGTCTGTTCATCAAGAGCAGTGACGCACAGGGGGAAATTGAGCACTCAATTTCACTCAATTTTTGACATTTAGAACAGAAATATTTCCACCAGAAGAAGAGACATGAGAAAAAAGTCGTCACAGTGAACTCCAACTTTTGAAGGTTCGGGATGCAGAAGTGAAAGAGTTATTTTTTAAATTTTGAAAAAGTCGTTCATAAAAAAAGTAGGCTACATCTTTAAATGCTTGTTAATATTAACATTCAGTGGGAAAGCATTCATGATATAACTGGGTGTTAGATAAAAACTATACAAACATGCAAGAGAAACACACAAATAAACACCCCTTTGAATAAAGGCTTTCATGCAAGAACACAGGTAAGTTGCTCTGCTCTCTTATGTGAACCTAATTAAAATGTCATTTTCTCTTTTTGTGGGATCAATGTCAAAAATAATAGATTCATCAAATAATCAACAAATGATTTCAGCTCTAGGTTGATCCATAAATTAAGCACCGTATGAGAGAAACTCTGAATATTTTAACTCTAGGGGGCATTTACATTACATGTGTGAACATCTTTATTTGTTGATTTAGAAATGCTTGATCTCTGATTAACACCGTATCAAATCTAAAACCAAGTGCGTTCCATACTCGGAGGTGTCGCAGCGTCCCAGTTGGACTGAGGAGAGAGAAAACGCAGTCAGCACCCTGGACAGCTCCCAAAGTAACACTGAGCCTATTGGTGTGATCCCCCGTCAGCGTGCTGCATGCAGTCTGAATGTGAATCTTACAAGTCCGCCAGCACAAAACACTGCAGGCAGGACCTGCTGTTGATGTGGCCGTGCAGCTGGAAACAAGCTGCCCCGTGCTGGTGATGGTCAGCCTCCTCGTTCCCTCTCTCCCTCAGGGAGAGCTGAGCGCTGGTGGGCTGCGCTCATGAAAGGGCTCCCTGCAGGCTTACGGCTGTCTGCTCCGGCTCAGCGTGCTGACTGAAAGGAGACTCTTAAGTGGCAACAACGAAAGCATCTCTTTCACTGTGCTTTCAGTAAAACCTTTTTAATAACATAACATATTGCAGCATTTTACCGGAAAGCCTCCCATGTCTCCGGGACGTCCTCTGTGGATACAGAGGACAGCTCAGCGTGTGGTGGGCTGACTCCTGCAGTCTGCCTACTGGAGCTCTCACAATGCCCAGCAGGCTGCGTACAGGCTGCACAGTGTTCCCTTCTGGAAATTGCGCTGGACTAAAGTGCTCGGATAGCAGAATAATAAATAACCTGGGTAGGGTGTCGGCGAGCATGCGAGTGTTGGGCTCCGATATCTTGTCGTCATATCGTTTATGGTTTACACAAACAACAAGAGGTGAAAAGATGTGTTTACCTGAAGGGACACATGTGAACGAGGGTCACCGGCCTCACGTCTCTCTGTGCAGCATTGGCTTGTACATTATGCAAAAAAGGGGCATTTGAATGTCTTCATCCAAGTTATTTACAGACGGGCCAATTTAGTAAAACCTCACCTGCCCTTAAATTGTTGTGGCTTATGAAACCTGGCAACAGCTTAGTTCCTTCTTTTGGGACAGACGTCTTGCATATTATGGGGAGTTTTCCCTGCAGGAGTCTAAGAACAGAACAGAGAGCTCAGGGAGTGAAAAAATGATTGCACATTGCAGAAGAGGAGCGTTCTGCTGCATAAATCATAATGTAACATAAACTGTCTTCTTTAACATTAACTATTGAGTCGCTATAAATGATGTACACATCTTTGATAATTCAGTTTGATCTTTTGAAAACCAAATGCCAGTTTCTTCTTTCTTCATTAACTCTGAAAGCAGTGAAACCAAAATGTTCAAATTTGAGTCTTTTTAGTACCTGTCATATATTATTATGCATTATTGACGCCAATCAACGCACTTGGTGACCACAGCGCTTCCTTTGTGCCGTCCGGGAACAGTGCATGTCTGGAACAGACTCACAAAGGGGCGTGGCGTCTACAAAGCCACGAATAAATTACAGCCACTAAAAAGATTGAAATTAGACATTTTTGGTTTCATTCAATGCTTTCGAAGCTACTGAAGAAACGCTAGATTAAGTAACTGGCACTTTCAAAAGATCAAACAGAATAATCAAAGCCAGCTACTCAGTTTGGCAGGAAGTGTGTGTTCACAAATATTGACTGAAACATCAATGAACCATCTTTTTTAATTCTGTTTCAAAGAAGCGATTAGCAACCGTAAATGCTGCTTTAGAGATGGTACGAGCAACACGCAGCTCTCCTACGTGGCGCCGATGCAAGGGATTCGACAAAGAGCTAGAATTACAAAGGTGGCCCTTTTGCGCTCGGCAGTTGTCTGAATGGCTCTTAAGGCAAAAAGGAAAACAATCAAGGGCCAGTTGTTCTCTTCGCCCCCAAAGTCAATGGCAGCTCCTTCACAGAAACACACCAGCTGACTGATTCCTCACCGTCAGTCGTGTGACAGCTCGCCCTGCTGCTGCAACACCTTTTAAACGTTTCTAGCCCAAAGGTTTTCAAACCAGTTCAAAGATCTGCGTACGTGACACAACAAGTGATGGAAGAAATGATTACTTTAATCTGACGAATGGGCCGTTTAGTGTCCACACTACGCATCAGTTACAAGCAATCTGCTTACACTGGATCTTTGGTTCATTTTCTATGTGAAAATCTTCACTCGTTTAATCCGAGCACATTTATCCCCGAAGGATTTCCCAGAAGAATGTGGGTGGGTGACATTTTTTGCACTCGGGTCTGATTCATGACACTGAGGAAAAGGAGTTGCGATATTTCACGGGCGCCTTGACGACAAGCGCTTCAGTCGCCGTTAACGAGGAGTAAGTCGCTAATTTCTTCCACTCAGACGGAGGCTCAACCTCTGCTGACCTTCTAGCTGCGAGTCCACTGTCACGCCACCAACGCTCATCCAACATCTAAAATATCACAGTAATTAGTTCAGCTTCACCGGGTTCAGTTGACCCCACGAGGGTCCTCGAACCACAAGCTGTTTCTTTCTGTCCAAGCGTTGGGCTCCGATGGGGAATGAGGAACTCACTGGCAACCACGGGGGCAGGACCCAAAAGCAGACTCGGGCAAATGTACTCGGGTGAAGAACATATGATTTTACCGAATAGGGTTTCGGTCTTTGGGTAATCAGTCACACAGGCAACGGTGTCATCAGCAGGCTAAATCTCACAGGGACACAGAAATTGGTCGAGACTCGGCGAAAAACACACCAGGAATTGCTAGTAAGAGACAAACTGGCACAGAAAAAGCAATTGGCACAGGGACAAACAACGAGACCCGGGTAGAAACAATCAGGGAGGAACTTGTAATCACACAGTGAGAGGGAGGGGCCTGAAACGAGAGACCAGGTGAGTCACAGAAAACACAGACAACCAGAAAGGTGAAAACTAACTACATAGAAGGACTGGAGGTGACAATATCTCCACTGAGGATCTGGCTGTTATCGGGCACTTTGGAGACAATTTTCCAGTCGTTGGCTTGATGTCACATCAATGGATAAATATTTCAGAGGTCCAGTGGAGTCTGGTGTGTTTGTTCGCTTGCTGCCGATGAGGCTGCCACTGCTGCAGACTGCAATTTATCAGATTTTGGGTTCCACGGGCCCAGGTGATTACTCTGAGACAGGCTCGAAAACCAAAGGGTTCATAAAACACGGCCTCAGCGGCGGCACAGATTGTCAGGTTGTGAGACAGAAGCCAGCGGACCGCGAATGCTCCCAATGAGACAAACTGCGTGCAGAGAAATGCATTAGCGTGCTTTGTTGGCCCAGAAAAGGTTTTTGTAGCACCGCGTTGTCTCCACAAAGAGCTATCAGCTGTAAGAACCCAGTGGCGCGACTAGGATCAGCAACTGTCCCTTCGAGACAGAAGCGCTGGTTTCGTTAGGCCCTCTGGTTCCGTTAGGCCCTCTGGTTCCGTTAGGCCCGCTGGTTTTGTTAGGCCCTCTGGTTCCATTAGGCCCTCTGGTTCCATTAGGCCCGCTGGTTCCGTTAGGCCCTCTGGTTTCGTTAGGCCCTCTGGTTCCGTTAGGCCCGCTGGTAGGCTGCAGCATTTGTGAATTGTGAATGTGATTAGCATCTGTTTAGGAAACCGCCAGCGAAGCTCAGTGTGGGTTTGGGATTCGTCAGGCTTGTTTCCTAAAATGGTACACAAAGTGGCTCCCACAGTTCGACCGTGTGATCTGACTTAATATAAAATTAAGGGCTGTCCCTGTTAACACGTAATGATAATGAGTAAACAATCAAGAGCCTCTTTAACCACGTATCAGAAATCTGATATTTGGACAGTCCCCGTTTGGATTTGACCTTTTACTGAAACGCTTCTCCTTCATCTTGAAATTCATCAAGTCTGTTTTTCGAGGTTAAATTAACGACATATAATAGATGTTTGAATGTCATCCACTCGTCTTCATTTGACATTAGAAATTGCCAATAGACGGGGTTGGACGGCAGAAGCGGAATCCCTTTAAACGGACATCAGGCATTAGCGGCACAGCGGCCGGACAGTTTACTCACCGTCCAGCTCCTCCACGGTGATGCTGGCCAGCACCTCGCTGTCGCTGTCCGACAGCGAGCGGCTCAGGTAGTTCCCCTTGTAGAGCAGGCCTGCCGTCACGTGGTGGAACGGCATCTTCTCCCTGAGGGGCAACAGAAGGAAACATTTACTTTGAGGAAAGGGAAGGACAGGTTTTTTTTTTTTTTTAGAGGATCCGATCACAGAACATCAATTCGAGGCTCTGCACTTTACACATGCTTCTAAAAGCGGCTTATCGGCAAGGCCAATCTCCTGGTTGCAATCTAGTTATATGAGAAAATGATTCCACTTCTCACATTTATTCCCTCAATAAACAATGTAAATATGAATTTATGGTGTTTTTCTGGGTGGGCTTACTGTGATCGATAAGTTGCTGCTGCTACAAGACATATGGCGTATCTTCCTCTCCTCTTTATTCCAATTATGGTGACTTCTGATCCTCGGTAGAAAAAAACGAAATCAGCAAACTCAGCGCTTCATTACTGCAGTCCACAAACAATTGGGTAACTACTTCCACATCTAATAGGCAGACTATGGTTCCCCTAAACATGGCCTGCTTAATGGAGTTAAAGTATGAGGCTTTTTAGGCGTTGGTAATGCGTCAAAGGCAAACGGACTCCGCGAGATAGCACATTTCCCAGGAGACATAACGGACGGTGCATTTTCGTTGTAAGTGAATGTCATTTAGACTGACATAAAAATATAAACCCACGATCAACAACAGGGAGCCAGTTTTTCCATTTGCAAAAAGCAAAGTGAAGTCCGAGGGGAACAGCATGATCGAGGCACAGCTCATTCGCTAAATGGTAAGTGGCACAGTGGGATAATATATATTGTATAACTGGGGGTGAATGTGGCAAATGTGGGAGCGTGCACGAGAGCTCACGCAACTGTGTGTACCGCATGCGTAAATGTGACAAAGGCAATTCAATAACTCGCCCAGGGGCACGGGGGGGACAAGAGCACACAGAGCACAGAGATTTGGGGGCCTGCTTCCTTCCCTTTAATTGGATTTGGTCTCGATGTGCAGATGCTTCCGAAGCAGAGCGAGGGGTTAAAAAACGAGCAGGGACTGAACCGCTTCTGTGGCTTTTTGGGACGTTTGTCTCCGCTATCGTTGATCTCAGCACCATATTTCAGCAGAGTCAAGTCAGCCTCACAATCACAAGAGCTTAGATAAGACAAACATCTGAAGTGAAACTAGAGGACGAGCTGGATGTGCAGCAGCATCCGCAGAGTAAACTGAAGGTTCAGTGTGTCGCTGTACAAAAGAGCAAATAGTGCACTTTAAAATAAGATACACCTTGATTAGATATTATCATTATTATATTATTGTGTTATTATATAAAGTATTATAATATGCAGTAGGAAAGATAAAAACACGATAAAGAACGAGAAAACAAAACAAGAATGTTCATTCTATCTTCCTCCTACTCACCTCTTTTCAAATCAATGACATAGCACACATATGAATCGTCTCCACACTTCACAATCTGTGAACTCCAACTAACAGAAGGGTTTTAAGTGTTGACTAATGGCGTATTAAATGTACTCGTGCTTCATCGGTAAGAGGCCCTTTCTGAGTTTACAGTTCAGCTCTTACATTTCTTACACTTATCTTAAGCTACAAGAGGTTACAATTATTTTGCAAACCTTTTATCGGATTTTCTACACATTTGATGATTCTAAATCGGGTTCCCACCGGCCGTGGCTGAAACCTTACCCTGCTTAATGATCCTTTACACTAAATGGGGCCATAATTTACTAAATGAACATCATGCTGTATTGAAGAAGACTTAATAGTAGCCAATGAGACCATAAAGTCATGTTCACAATGTTTATTGAGGTATTAAATCAGGCGAGAAGTAGGGTCATTTTGGTGCAATAAGACTTATTTTTTAAACGAACCTGAGCAATGCGAATGTCAACTCTGTTCTGTTAATAATTGATCTAATATATTTCATTTTTTTGTTTTTGCATCCGTCAGCTACTGTTAAGCAGTTTGTCCAGCATCTACAGTATAAATGCTTGCGTTTCACTTTTTGGAGCGGCCAGCCATCAGATTCCTCACAGATTGAAAACTGGCCCGTGCACCTTTCCTGTTTGTCGGTTTGATAAGCATCAAGAGGTTGCGCAGGGAGAGGTGAGGGGGTTGACGATGGAGGGGAGGTATCTCGCGGCCAGACGGCTCCACCCGTTGAGCCTTATATGGACTCGCTGCCTAACGAGCAGAAGGTGGGGACAGTTTAGTGGTTGAGGAGAGCATAAAAAGGGAGAGAAAACAGAGAAGACCAAGTGAGACGTGGTTTCGGAAAGTAGAGTAAAGAAGAAGTGTAAGATGTAACTGGATTAACCTGGACTGGCTGACCACCGGCTACCCGAACAGCTGTTCGCCACCGCCGCCGCTGGCTGGCCAACTTGCTCGTTAACTGGCCGGCGAGTTAGCTAGTTAGCGTGTTAGCTGGTTTCTGTTTGAACCGGTGTACCGCCCGGCCCTACTGTCAATTATCCTGAATAAACTGTGTTCAAGTGTAGCCAGGGGCCGGCTTGTGCTCTTGAACGGCGACGTGGAAACCCACAGCCGTGGGCCACAACGCCTTAAGCCTTCGCTCACAACCAGCCGCCTCGCACGTATTCTAATGATTTCTCATTTCCTAATTCATCAATTATTCAGCCCTCTCAGCTGTCATTATGAATATTACCCTCATCGCTCTTGTTCGTTCTTTCCATATTACTGTTTCCAGCTGTCAGCCTCCACTCAGGTGAACATTATCGTAGCTTTTGCTTTGCTGCGCCAACGAGACGGAGTGATGATGGGCGTGAATCTACCTCGCAGAGGACAGAATTGAAATGTATTCCTCAGGAGCACCGCGGTGCATACAGTAATATCTCAAGCGTGGGAAGGGAAAACCTCATGGGGCTAAATTAGAAGCAGTATTGTCATGCCCGCTAAAACCTTTGCCCTTTCGTCTGGCAATGGCACAAGGCAGCAGTGAGTTTTAAGCGCTTTCTTCTCCAGGTCTGTGCTGGGAGGACGAGGGGAGGCTGCGGCTTCCCTTGTGAGTTTTCTCACGTCGTGCATTCTTAAGTAATCAGCTAAAAGTCTGCGAGCAGAGGATGGACATGCTTGACGTGTTGCTTTCAACAAGGAAAGGGAAAATGTTCAATGACACAGACTCGGGTTAGAGGTGCTGTCGGATAGTTTGGAGGAGGTGCAAAAGCATTTCCTGCACTTTAGTAATGCATGAAAGAAATAACTGAATTAGTTGAATTATTTGTAAATAAAGCATTTGAGCGTGTGAAAAAAACAGTCTCAACAGCAGTAAGTTGTAAATGAACCTTATGATACTATCGTTTTACCATCTGTTGTTCCCAAGGTCCACATTAACAGTCATGTTACTATAAATTGATATATATATATATATATATATATATATATATATACACACAACCTGTGTACAGCAGTCCCTTCTCTGTTGTTTATCCTCATTTGTCTCAAGATGTTTTTTCTGTTATCGTGTAATTACATTGGCGGTAATTCACATTCTTTGTCGTGCACAGTTCTCCAATAAATGTGATTCTGATTTTCAAGATCTCAAGAAGACATATTCATCAAGACAAAATTCATCATTTTCTAAAAGAAAATGATGAATCTAAGAATCTTTGTGAGCAAAATGTATTTACAGTCACCCGCATCTATTGAATGGTAGCCAGTTGGTAAAATAAACTATTACTGCCTCATGCAGTCCTTATATAGGACTTTCCAGGGCTGTTAGACCCAACTGAACCCAATTACAGCAGACACATTAATAAAAAATACCTCCACTATAGTTGTACGCATGCCTTCCCACGGAGCACACTGTGGATAAGATAACAACACCACTAATCAAAACCCTTTGACCTTGGAGGAAAAAGGCGGTAAGCCACAATTACGCTGTTGCCATTAAATGCTGCATGTCCTCAAAGCGCTGACGGGCGGCTAGACAAACATATTTCCCGCTGTGTCCAGCAATGAGGCATCGCAGATTAGTGTCGTTAACGGGCAGCTCTGGCCTTTTTCAACCAATTTGTCCATGTTTCTCTGAGTACATGACGATAAAGGGACAACTATTTCAGGAATTGGTCCTGTATTGGACGAAGGTTCTGCAGACGGCAGCTGATCAAAGGTTGCGGCGTAAACCTGTACGGGCCGAAATTGGCACCATAAGTAAGAGTATTTGTTTGAGGCATCGGAGACCACAGGAGTCTGTCTCAAGGAGATGTCTTGCAATGTGGATAAAGGTTTTTGAATTTGATTTACTTGAATACGGATGAAGAGTTCCAAGAAACTGAAGAGCAGATGAGGAGAGAAAGAGAGGCAACGGGCAGCAGAGGCACATCCAGCACGCAGGAAGATTCCTGTCATCTTTTTGTTGAAGCCCTGAGAAGTTTTACAGGAATTCAAATAACTAATTGCTGCAACATTACCCGCATGGGGCAAACGTGACATGATGGGGCATTTATGAAACTTTTCTTGGTTCAGAATCGTTGATTTTCAACGTATCCAGGGGTTTGTCCTTTTGAATAAAATTCAGCTTTGATCACTAAAGGGTTTTGTCCAACTAGATACAGTGTAGCCTGCCAGACTTTTTGATCTCGTCTCTGTATTAATACTTTTTAAATCTCTTTCTCTCTCATCAATCCACAACCACACCGGATTAGTTCCCCACCAGTTCTGACTCTCGGCTATTGAAGAGTACACAACCTGCTGAAAGAGAGCACAGCTTTATTTAAAGCCCCCCGCATGACAAAGACGCCAGATGGCAATTACTCAGACCAACAGCACAGCGGCCGGTACTGAGGGGCACACAAGCAGGACGCTGTGTACCGCTGTGGACGCACATGAGGAAAGAGACCGAACGCACTCCTGACTCGCATACGATGCAGTTATCTGCAGGTCTCCTAACGTCACGCAAAAACAGAAAACTCCAGGAGGTTGCATTGGAAACTGGAGGCGGGTGACTTTTTTTTTTTGTGGAAATAAATGAGGGGATATTTCCATTGACAAAAGTCATCAGTGACATTTTTTCTCCTGATGAAGAAATACCTTCCAGTTCAACGTGATCTCCAAAACCTGTTCGTAAAAATGTATACGAAAATCTTGAACATACAAATTCGTAACACACGAACTGGCGGTGGTTAACCACGCCCCTTGAGGGAACAACATGGCGGACCATGTTGGATTCTTGAGTGAACGTCTCTCCGCCATGTTGGATTCTTTGAGGGGGTTAGGGTTAGTATTCTATTCTTACAAGTTAACATTGATTTCTCGTTAAAAATACAATCATAACACGTTTATTTTACATCGTTAGACTTCACAAAGTGTGTTTACGGGGTGCAGGTCCCCATTCACTTTGAATAGGGTGACGTCATCAGTTGCAGGCCGTATTTATTTAGTATGTATCACTACGAATTTGTATGTTCAAGATTTTCGTATACATCTTTACAAACAGGTTTTGGAGATCAGGCTGTCCAGTTCTGATATCACTAATGCTATCGCAGCAGCTACGCTGGTCCCTGGGAGCCGCCATTATTTATAAAAAGAACAGTCACCTCAACACGCAGCGTCTCACACACCAAAATCGCAGAACACGGACAACGACGCACACAGAAAAGATGTGATTCTCAAGTTGGTTTGAGGTTATTGCAGGAAAACACTGAGCAGTAACACTAACTTAAACCACATTGAATCTCAGGACACCTTTTTGCCAAATCCTATACAAACACAGGTTGGGGGTGAGCACACCATTAGGAGAATAAGTAAAAAAAAGTTTCCACTTAATGGCAGAAATGCAGAAGCAAATTCCCATTGTGGTTTTCCCACTCATCCCCTTTTCCATCACTGCGAGAGAATGAACCCACTAAAAACCACAACAAAGCAGATGGATTAATTACCAACTGGTCTTTCGACCGTATCTGTTATCATATCGTGTTACACAAAATGAGTGTAACACAAAGCTGAGGTATTAAAAAGAAACAAATGTCCCTGCAATGATGATAATAATAAGGTGAAAAATGTCAGTACGGCTTATTAATAAATGACAGCAGTATAATCTAATTACTTCCAAGTGCTGTGGACTGTGTGCAGCTGAGGCTCACTGGCTTCAATATGCAGCCGAGTGGGTGCAACGACATCTCATCAAGCCATCGTGAAACTCTCTCCAAAACTGAGAAGAAGAAAAAGAAGAAGACGGGGGCGTCCCACAGAAGTGCCACCTCTCTAAAAAAAAAAAAAAGACCAGCTGTCGCCTGGAGCAACAGCCTCTTTCTCTCTGTCCTCCCCCCCGCAGCTCATTCTTACCCACAGTGGTGAGTGTACGCAGCAGGATCCTGCAGAACTAAAGGCTCCGTCGCCGGACTCTCCATCGCGTCCTCCGTCCCGTCCCTCAGGTACGGGTTGCCTGGCAGGTCTCCGTTAACCTCCGAGTGTGTCCCCGGCGACGGCAGGGGGGCCACCGTCCGAGGATCGGGCTCTGTGACCTCCTCCTCCATCAGGCTCTCAGATGCCGCGACGCCTCCGGCGGCACGCTGTCTGTCCACGAACGGCCGAGTCCGACTGCCTCCGCGGTTTGGGTTCGTCCCAAAGCGGCGGCATCGGTTCCCAGAAAACCCGTTGTTAATATTTCAGCACCGAGAGCAGCAGGTACAGCGGCTCTTCTCATGCCCCCCCCCCTCCCTCCCTCCCTCTCTCTCTCGCGCGCGCTTTGCTCCCTCACTCTCTTGCCAGTGCAATCATCGCTCCACATGGGGACACAGTGCGGCTCATTAGCGGGTCCCAATGACAGACTGCAGCATGCGCGCACAGCACACAGAAAGAGAAGGGGGGACTGAGAAAAGGGAGAGACGGGGTGTTGACCGACACATTAGGATTGGCAGGGAGAGAAAAAGATAGGGACAAGGTACGAGGACAGGAATGACAAATGGTGGAAAGAAATGGGGGAGGCTGCAGGTGACGCAGCTTTCGACAGTGACGGCGCGTCACATCGCTCAGAGAAGCGACGCGCCTCCGGGAGAACGCGCGCACAGAACGCGCCAACAGCGCGCGTCACTGTGCGGCGCGAGCGTTGCGAAGCGAGAGGACGGGGGGCCAAACTCTCGGCGCGGGGGTCTAAGAGCCCGGCTGGACCCTTTCAAGGGCCACACTTCAACCACGGAACCCAGGAGCACATGCGCGCGCACACAAACACGATCCCCGTGAGCTGCTCGTCAAAGTCACCCGATAAAGAGACAAAGTTAATAGTTGTCGTACCGGAGATACACAATACACACTACTATTCATCTGACAACAAACACACGTCATGAAACACTGCTGCGGTCCTTCAGGAATCTCGTTCGGCCAAAAGGAAAATAGTATCCAAGGCTTTTACACCTCATACATGGGGAGATGAATAAAAAAACATTAACAGGTTGGCATAATCAGCCCATTCAATTCATTCATCCCCCCCCCCCACCCCCCACCCCCCTACATACCTCGCAGGGTGTCTGAAGGTGATCAATGAAATCCGTTGATCGACGCGAGCAGCTGAGAGGCTGCAGGTCCTCGTCGGTCGATTCCGGGTCGCTCGACGTGTGATTGGTGAATTATTCCTTTATTTTGGAAAACGCAGAGCACATGTCGGCTTCCATGGTGAACACAAGTAAAGGCTTTTCTTTGTGCCAGCAGCTGCTCACCGCGCGCGCTCAACGGAGTTGCACTTTTCGCCGAACTCTCATCTCATTCTTTTTATTTTTTTTATTTCTTTATTTTGTATCTCCAGTTGTAATCACGATGAGGGAAGTGCAGTCATTAAAGAAGAAAGGATACAATCCATGTAGAGGAGATCCGCGGCGCGTCGTTGTGATTGATGAGAGCAGAAGAGAAGCTCCGACCCAAATCAGCGCGCAGGAGCAGCAGCGCCCCATTGGCTGCTTTCACTCTCTCCTCCGGACCTGATGCGTCCATTGTGCTTTTTTCCACCACAGTGTTACTTCTCTACATTTTAAAAGTCAACACGTGTCGAATCCGAAATATTCTGTAATAATAAATGATTAATAATAATAATAGTAAAAATAAATGCATAAATACAAGTGTGTCTCTAATTGGCTTTTATCTGCTTCTGGCAAACAAACCAGAGAGCAAATAAATCACGCATGAAGTTAATTATATGTTTCCTATAAAGACTGCTGAGTTGATCTCAATGGGACTATTAGTCTATTCCAGTCTTATTCTCATGATTCATGAACCAGTTCACACATTGATGTCTCGAGGCAGAAACAAGACTCGCAGTAATAACATGTTACACCGCAAACACTGTTAATAATATTAGGGTTTATAGTTATGAACCATTAAGAGGCCGGTGGACTGACAGGTGCCAAATTCACAAATTGAAGGATCCCACCAGATTCTATTTCACTGGAGCTGTTCGTACAATTTCACAACACGAATAAATTAATTGCTTTGTAGAACTGTGCGATTTAACCGCGAGTTCATTTCTACTTTATTTGTAGTAATTATCCGGCGTATGGTGCACTCCAAAAATGCTGCTTTTCATTTTTATCCCAATTTAAATCGCAGTGATCAATGTGAATCTTAGAATCTCATCCAGATGAGGTCACATTGGGTTCCAATACACTCCACATTTTAAGCAGCTTATCAATCAGATGATGACGTTGGGATCTTTCGGTTGCTGTGTAGACTTTTCAGACATACTGCGCATCCAGTACGGACGTTTCCTCAAATTCATACTAAATAGCTTTTATTTAGAAGCCCAATGCACCACAAAACAATGGTCCGCTGCTTAAGTGTCTTTATTCAATTTCATCCTGGCCAAGAAGCTCTTTACCTACAATAACATAACACACCTATAGAGCACGGAAAACAGCCCAGAGACGGTGAGATGACTTCTGCAAACTGTGAATGGACAGTGCACACCCAAGCACGCTTGTGTCAAGCATGCAAGTACAGGCTGCAGATAAAACCGTTCCTTTCTTTTAAAGCTGGCAATTTACTTTGCAAATAATGGAGAGATAAGAGAGAACAAAAATGATGCTGTGTAATCAGAGCACACGGTAGTGAAAATACACTCTGATTTGCCTGATTGTAGGTTCCAATCATCCAGGACTGTTATGCGTATACATGCAGGTTGTTTTGGCTATCTATCCTAAATGCGTAGATTTGGTTGGAACAACTTGTATCTTAAACTTTGTTCCAGTTCCACAAAATACACAGAATAATATTTAAATGCACTGTATTACCAGCCGGTTTGGATTCACAGTGTTTGTGCGAAAGATACATTTCATTCATTAAAATGTTTCAATATGAGTGAAACCGTGTTGCCATCAATAAATCCTAATAACAAAACATTTATAACCTCAGTTAAAGCTATAAGGAACTTTGATTTTGTGTTGATTGTTGGGTCGAGCACCAACTTCCAAGGCTGAAAAATGGAGTTAGAGACTTCTGTCCCTCCAATGGTCGGTTGAGGCTGAAGCCAATCCCCATAAAGCCCCATTAACATTAACAACGGCAGTTTCACTTTGCTGCGAAAAACATGTTTTGGTATATTGCTAATATCAAGTTTAAATGATATTAGGACTTATAGTTATGCGTCATTAAAAGGCCGCTTTGACTGACGGGTGTCGAATGCACAAATCGAAGGATCCCACCGGATACGCTTGAGCTGTACCGTGTACAATTTAATATGACAAATAAATAAATTGAGCCAGAGCACCTGGTTTCCTTTAGAAATGGTCTGATTTTGCAGCAGCAGACGAGTCGCAGTTTCCGGCCAACCTGCATGTTTGTGTCTGATTTCATGTGGGATGCGGCCCAGCAGCACGGATGACAGGCACGAACAATAACTGTACATACAATAATTTACTTGATGGTCTGTAGGTAATTTAGAGGTATCAGTGAGACTGTTTCATACGCGGTTAAAAGTTCCTCACAGTAATCATGCAATCATTACACGGGAACGTGGTAAATTATGTGTAAAGTAATAACTTTTTTTAGTAAATTGCAGTGTAAGCACTTTAATTAGGTTTGGTGCAGAGAACACTGGGAGTTATTCTGATCCTTTCCCTCTCATGCACACTTCTACACACACACACACACAGCACACGCCATGTGACACATCTCCAATCTGTGCCACATTACTCTACCAGTTCAGCCTTCAGAGCGCATGAGCCGTGTGTACGGGCACGTGTGAGCGTGACTGCATGTCAGAGTGTCTTATGTGAGAGTGTGTGTGTTCCTGATGGATTGAGTCACAGTTTCTCTGAGTTCCTGCTGTTGCCTTATCTCACTTTTTCAGAAGATAACCTAATGAGTCAGTCTGTTGAGGATACGGTGCGGTGACATGAAAGTCGTCACTGATACCGGCCTCAGAGCAGCTGAGGAGCGCAGAGGTTCAGGCTGCTAAATATCTTTGCAGGGGACCAATGGAGGGATCTTGTTACTGAATGTTCACGGCGGCTCAAGGCTTTACCAGCATGCATCGGCAGGCAATTCCCCGGTGTAAAGTCATTCGTCTGTCCCCACTTAGACAGTCCAACACTAATATTCAAGATATTTATTGTCATGTGTACAGTTTAACAGGTTATTCTGTACGATGAAATTCATATTTGGCCATGTCCTTCTTCCACAAAACGTATGTAGAATAGACTGTAAAAATAAAACAAAATAATAAAAAAATTGAGTAATAAAGAAATAAATTATATTTTTATATATATATACATTTTATATATATACAGTAGGTGTCTCATGAGCCCTGTTCATGATCCTGATGGCCTGCGGGTAGAAACTGCTTGTTAGTCTCTTGGTTCTGTATTCAGGAGAAGTCTCTCTGCTGGGGAGTGTGTTCTGCCCTTGATGATATTCCGGGCTCTCCTGGTGACCCTGGAGGAGTCCATCACACGCTGGACGGCCTTCCTGTCCTGGGCAGTGGAGTGTCCGTACCACACGGTGATGCGGTGAGGACGCTCTGGGCCGATTCTACCTCTGTAGAAGTTGCTGAGAATTTTGGTCTGCAAACCAAATTCCCTCAGCCTTCTTAGGAAGTGCAGTCTCTGCTGGGCCTTCTTGGTGATCTGTCACCAGGCCACGAGTTCCTCCACCTCCTTCTGTACGCTGCCTCGGCTCCACCAGTGATGCTTCCGATGACTGTGGTATCAGCAAACATGATGATACTGGTGTTTTCGTGGGAGGCCACACAGTCGTACGTGAAGAGGGTGTACAGCAGGGGGCTCAGTACACATCCCTGGGGGGTCCCTGTGCTCACAGCTCTTGTGCTGGAGGTGCTATTGCCATCTAGGACTGATTAGGGTCTGCCTGAGAGGAAGATCAGCACCCCGTTGCAGAGGGCAGGTGTGAGACCCAGAGTGAGGAGTTTTACTGAAAGTTTGTGTGGGTTAAAAGCTGAGTGCGTGAGGGTTGCATGGGTGACGTTGTTCGCTGCGTCGTCAGTAGACCGGTTCTGGCAATATGCAAACGGCAGCGGGTCCACGGTGTCTGCGATCATCTTCTTGATGTGGGTCATGACTCTCGTAACACTTCATCACTATCGGGGTGAGTGCAACGGGACGATTGTTATTCAGGCAGGTCCCAGTGTCCCCTCTTTGGGATGAGCACGAGGGTGGTGGACTTATGAAGGTGGGCACATAATCTAGTGCTGCTGACGGGTTGTAAATATCAGGAAGCACATCAGCCCGCTCTGGTGAGCAGGCCCTGAGGGCACGCCCGGAGATGTTGTCTGGGCCGGATGCCTTCTGTGGGTATGTTGCATGTCTAGAGAAGACAGAAATAGATCACATCCACTAACTTGAATTAAACATCAAAGATGGAAGGTATCCTTCAGCCGCCCCATCAGCAGGTCTTCTGGATGTGTCTCAGATGACGGTATTTACTTGTCTATAGAAACACAGTCCTCACACGCTGATACAAACCACGGCCGTGGCCTGTTTTTTAAAGTCAATGCAGAAGCTGCTGCAGAACAGCTGCAAGAAATGCAGTCCATACTCATTCAGTCAATCCACTCGTGAGTCATTTCACATTACAAGTGCAGTTGGCATGATGATCTTCATCCAATGTTGAATTGCACTGCCTACAGATGCCGTAGGCTTTCAGCATGGTTTGAAGGAACCATGAAGAAAATGTCAGCGACTATCCTAGTTAAGCTCTGGCTGCTGACGCTTCAGGAGGCTTGAGTATATACGGACATTTTCTCTACTTTCCGGCCAGTTGGCCAGTTGTATTTCTGCCGTGCGGGTGGATGCAGAGCATCGGTTACGCCGCGTTTCTCAGGACAGCGCCCGAATGTGAGGCACCTGTGCTCCGTCATCGCGTGGTGAGCACTGAGCCCGTGTGACGAGGCGAGAGCTTCACACCCTTGAGCCCGCACGCACTCTCATACCACAGTGGCATTCTTTTCATTTCTTTTGAAAAAATGATGGATTACAAACTTGTCTGGTGAAGTAAAAATGTTCAAACCACTAAATCAAGTTTTTTTTTTCTGTGTGTAAGAAATACAAACAAAACTAAATATTCAGAGCACACGTCTGAGCAGCCAATTGACGTCTAGTCTGCATGTGATTCAACTTTTCAAAATGTAAGAATAAATGCTCTGATTATACATTTCACACTTCATATATTCGTGTGTATAATATATTTATAATATATATATATATATATATATATATATATATATATATATATATACAGTTTATAATGTATAAACTGTGAACTTACATGTATACATGCATATACTGTACACGTTGACACATCAACAACAGCTAAATATTTGTTTGTCCATGATTTTATCTGCATTTCAATTTCTGTGTGTACAAGCTGAGCACAAATGGCCGGTAAGTGTACTCCATCTTGGCCAAT